GGCATGCTCAACTCAAGAAAAACAATGAAATTCTCATTTTCATTCCAATCATGCTCAATTCCAAAAAATAATAATTTTCATAAAAATCATCACAATTTTCATTTCAGTTTAATCATACTCAGATGCTGATAAAATCAATTTAAAACTTGCCACCATCTCAAAAACAATTTAAAACATGCTTTAAAATCGAAGGGTTTTACCATAATTTACTTACCTTACTCGCACAGAACAGAAGACTTAACCCAAGTGCTACGGTGACAAAACAATCAAAATCTAATCACAAATTCCAAAGTTAATACCGCACTACCACAAATTCAAAGTGAAATTATCAATGGGACTACCCCTAATCACGATGCTATTTCTATCGCACAGAATAGAAGACTTAACCCAAGTGCTACGGTGACAGAACGATCAAAATCTAATCACAATATTCCAAAGTTAATACCGTACTACCACAAATTCAAAGTGAAATCATCAATGGAACTACCCCTAATCACGATGCTATTTCTATCGGTCTCCACATGACTGGACATCTCTAAATTTGTTCTTATATTACAAACTAAACATTTAAATCCCCGTTAATTGTTGACCATCAATGCGTGAACAGTACCCCGTGAACAGTAACTGTATCTTCCAAAAATTGGCAAAACAATAACTAATCTCACGAGATTTTTCTCCAAAATCACAACAACCCAATTCAAGCTAATTTACACTTAAACCAAGCTAAAAACATAGCTTAAGCTACAAAAATTTCCCCATTTCTCACGAGCAGCACATGGAGAGCATGGCTTTGGCAAACCACAACTCACACACACAAGATTTTCATATAAACATCACAGCAATTAATCAAGCTAATTCTACCTTAATTAAGCTTAATTATGCTCTAATTGCTACCGGAGTTCATCCCCATTTTTCAGTAGATTTCGAACAACACAGAGCATCAACTAAATGGACAAAACCCAGAAATTAAATGGGTAATTTCGGATTTAATGGGACTGTCAACATACCAGAATTTCCAGCCAGCTGCAAAACCGGACCTAGCGAAGGGAAGAAGTCGGCGGCAATTCTGCAGGGGACTCACGAGCTACCTCAAAATTGAGGGAAATAAAAAGAAATTAGAATAACCCAACTTGAATCAAGGCTAGAAGGACGAATTCTGGGCTATTTCTTACCAAAAACCGAACTCAACCTCACACAGCAGAGGCCAGCGGACAGAGGGAGAAAGAGCAGAACAGATTTGGAATTTCTGGGTTGAGAGAGAGAATTCGAAGCCCCAAATCTTGTGATTGAACAAGAAAGAAGGAGAAAATTCAAGCTTTGCCACAAATTTTCTCAAAGAAATGAGTCGG